TAACTAAAATCCCAAGATACGGTCAAGACAATTCAGTGTCTCTATTTATGTGGGAGTTTTAATTATTAAACCAGTGTTAGTCATGTGCCTGTTGTTCGTGTCAAATTTTTCAACTTCTAAATACATTTTTATAATGGAATCTTTAACAACATAAAGATTTTATATAGGAATATGTTGTAGACTTTCGATATTTTTGTTCCCTATGAGTTTTTGTCCCATTAACTAACAAATCATTTTAATCTAAATGTGAGGAGTGGTATACTACACTTTTAGTGAGTGGCTGGCTATAAAAAACAGAACTATAAACTCATAATTGTAATTCTGGATGTCTTTTTAAAATGTTTATTCTGAGAGACTTTCCTTTTTGTTCTTGAAGATAAATAGGGATAATAAGACATAAATCCCAGAAACAGTGGTGTATGTCTAATAAGTTTGATCGGAACCTCTCATTTTATGAGCAGTTTCTCTCATCCAGTGGCTAATGGCCAACTCTCCCCCTCCCGCCCCCCTGAAAAAACCTGTAAAAAAAACAAAACCCCACCATTCAAAAAATTATAAAACATGTATATTTAAGGAAAAGTTGAGAGCAAATACAAATAGCATTTACAGTAGATTTTAAACATATAAGCTTGTCCTAAAGCAAATGATTAAAATAAGGAGTTAGTACTGATTGAAATGCATTTGAAAATAACCATGGATTTCATATTCATTATATGTTGTTATTGATATGGATTTTAGCTATCGCATATTAACAGTTGGAAAAAGCGGGGTAATGTTCATTTTTCCAATTAATTGCTTCCTGGTTTTAATGATGATTCTTGACACGGAGTAAATTAAATATCAACATGTACAGTAAAATGATTGTGTTGCATATAGAAAAGATACCTTCCCCAGTAAGTATTTGTTTTTAAAGCAATTTTTTTGGTAAGGAAAATCAATGATTATGTAAGCTTTTTCCTGGACTCTTATCCGGTGAGTGTGCTATAAGCTGCTTTTTGTTTATTTAAAATCATTTAACTAATTGACAGTCAGAGAACAGCTGCAGCCACGCTGCACGATCCTGGGTTTGTTCAGTTAATGTTTATAATTAATGTAAGCAGGGAAGAGATGCCATTGGATTTTACTACAGGCAGTGATTGCAACTTGGTAATTTGTGATCTGATTTCTCCACCCATTTGCTTGATCGGGGAAGCCCAGAGGGGCTTTGTGGTCGGGGATTGTTACATGCCACTGTACCTGCTAATCACCGTTCCTTTCTGGATTTGAGGTCTGTCTAGCTACCAGTGAGCAAAAGAACTTGAGCTTTTTGATTCCTGCAGCCCCTGAGAAGGGATAATCATGCAAAAGGAAACCAAGTTTGATTGCATTTTTGGTTGCAGTTAATGAACATGGTCTTGGACAGATGCATGGTCTAGGTACAGAGAGGATAAATGAGAACAACTTGAAGGAAAAAATGAGCATCAGTTATCGAGATTTTTTCTTCCCCTGATTTGCAAGGGATGCTGCTGTAATTCTATCTGCAGTTTTTCCTGATCATTCACCACTCAGCAGTGGGTAGGGAAGTAAGACTGCCTGGCAACCACCTGCAGAGCTGCAGAGATGAATTACATTTTCGGAAACAACACACTCCTTTACTCGCGCGCCAGTCGAGGAGGCAACGCTAGCTCGAGCCATAGCTCTGCAGGCCCAAAGCAGAAGCAGTGGGCAAAGAAGGGCTCAACAGATGAGCTACAGGCTGAGCCTTCTCGTTGGCAGCAGATAGTGGCATTTTTCACTCGGAGGCACGGCTTCATTGACTGCATCTCAGTGGCTGCCAGCTCCACCCAGGTAACATAGTTGTTGAAATGCTTTTGTCTGTGCATTTTCACGGTCGCTTGCTGGTCAGAAATAGCAGTCTGTTATATGCTTGCCTCCATGTAATCGGTGGTCAGTAAATAATGTCTGTGCGTCTGCTTTCATTTTGGAATCTTAAGTAGAGTTTCAAGTGCTAATAGGTTTTAGGGTTAATGCATAAACAGGAAAATTAATTTTACCATTGTGGGCTGTGGATTTTTAAATATTTCTTTTGCAAAAGGCAAGGCATTCATGTATAAAATTGAATCTGAATTGGTGACTGAAAAATCCAGGTTGTATCCTAGGGTTTACTTGTTTGTCCAGCAAAGACAACAACTTCAGCTAAATAAGACATTTTATTTTCAAAATAATAACTGAATGCTAATTCAAGTGAATAGAATATGTATTTTCAAATAAGTAGCTACATAGCAGTAAAATAAGCAGTTCAACTATTTAGGCTTAGATGGCATAATTATTTCTAATCTGTAATTGTGTTTATCATGTATAAGAAATCTGCAAATGAGATTAAGGTATCTATTGGAGAATAATTCCTTTTATGTATGGAATGTGGGTTAACACTGCATTTTTACAGTGTACATATACCAATATTTGGACTTTGTTACAAAAAACTAAATTACTTTAATGGTATTTTTATTGCCACTTTTATGTGGGGGAATTGAGTCCACACTGAAAGGCAAATGAAGAGGACATGACTACAGATTTGGATTGTGTAGGTTACTGGAAGGGTCTGAAGGAAACGAACTTTATCAGGAAAGTGTACTAAACTTGTCAACATCCTTAGGAAAGGAGGATATCTCTCTGCACAGCAGTTTAACAACACTGAATAGAACAGTAGTGAGATTTTGGAAGCTTGTTTAACAACTGTTAATATGCTATGGCTAAAATCCATATCAATAACAACGTCATGAATATGATTTTCATGGTTATTTAGTTAATTGATGAGCTGTATTAAACTGTTGCATTTTAAATTAGCTAAATAATATTTCCTCGGGTTGTTATATGACATGGAATATTATAAAAAAAAAACAATAAGCATTTAAATACTTAGTCAACCCTGTGTGCTCTTGGCATTTTTATTTCTACAGCTTTACAAAACCTTGGATTTTTTTATTACATATTGTGCATATTATATATTGTAAAACAATTCCCTGCCTGTTATTAGCTGACATTTTTTACTGTGACTTGCTTATTTTTTAGAAGGCTTTCTAAAAGGAGATCAGCTTTCATCTTCCATTTTGTAGCATTATACATTTATGAAACAATAGAACAAGATTCTTGTTCACACAGGCTATTGGAACATAACAGTGTTGCTTTAAGTAGGCATAAAAACTTTTTAAGTACTTTTAACCAAGACCAAAATAGATGGCATTAGCTCTCAGAATAAATATGCTGTCAGAAAGTAATCATCACATTTAAAAAACATTTAGTAATATTTTAAATTCTTAAATATTGTATTCAGTTCCACTTCAGTCCACATTATGATTGGTATGGACTACAGTATGCCAGATTATCTTAATAAAACATTCGTTTGCTGACAAATACCAACTGAATTGTTGTCACGTAGCTTGCTAGCTCTCTTTTCTACCCATTCATTTACCACCTGTGCTTGGGCTCTGTCAGAAGTAAGGGTTTTTTGTGGGGAGGGTTGAGTTCTCTTAAAGCCACACTTTTTGTTCGAAGTATGAAACTCGTAATGAAAATAAGTACTTAACCAAGTTGAAGGAAAATATAGGTAATATACAATTTTGAAATAGCCTAAGGAAAGTCCTGAATACATCTCCCAACTTTAGTCATATCACAGAGCATGTTCCTTCTTTCTAGTCTGATTGAAAATATCTCACTGGTAAGATGGTATATCAAGCCTTCTTCGCTCACCCACTTTCAGAAAATAACCAAAGCAGGGAGATAAAAAGGTGAATATTATACCCGCCTATTTCAGTGTGTCTCTTTGTTGAGTCATTTTGTAAGCTGTACACTTTCATTTAAGTTTTACTCCGTTTCTAGGATAAACTCCTAATTTAAAAGTACTTGTGACTTGTTGATCCAGTTTACTAGAAAGAGGCCAGGCAACAAATAACACTGTGGGAAGTTGGACTCCCTTCTCTAACCTTATCTACAGGCAGGGGCATAAGCAATTGCTTGAGCATGTGTAGCAAATAGAAACGAATGTCTAGGTGTCCTGCTCCAGTCCCTGGTGAGGTCCAGAGAGCTGGGTATGAAGCTGGGGTGCATGTAGGAACCTGCAGGCTCTGCCGAATGTATGAGGAGCGCAGAGCAAGCTGTATATTGTACTGCGCCCCAGTCGGCGTTCACAGTGTGGCTGCAGAGCAGTTCTGCATCTCGCACTGGTTCTCTCGCATCCCTTCAGATTGCAGTAGTGAGATGCCAAGGGCCTTGTACCCACAGACAAACACCTGCATCTTTTGCACTTTGGGGACGATGATAATGCAATAACTTCCAAGCATTTTATCATATGCCTCAGTTACTTTATTCTCGCTTCCTCACCTCTCAAGGTGTGACATTGGGTCCTTTCTTGCTGAAATATTTTACTACTTATTTTCCCAAATGTAATGGGTATCTTCAGTATAATCCTTTTTTAGGTAGCCTACAATAGAAAATATGGTTAAAAGTAAGCAAGAGGTGTTAAGCACTATATGAACAGATTCAAATGCCCATAAAAGTGAAGCTAGCTAGGCCCTGGGCTTAGCTGCAAAAGTATTAGTTGTTGAAACAGAAAACTGTCTCTTAATCCTCTCTCATCTCTGCCAGCCATTTTTAAATGCCCAAGAAAGGGGTCTACTTAAATTGTGGTTAGACTTCCCAGTTGTTGTGGGTTGGTCGTGGCATAATGAGCAAATTGTGTGACTGTTTCTCAGATGTGCCCTGCCCCGCCATCTTGACTGTTGGCTATCCTTCGTGTGGCCCCGCCCCTCAGTGCTGATTGGCGGAGAGGCCCCGGACGGGATAGGAGGACAAGGGGGTGGTGGCCATCTTATCTGCTGCCCTTCCTGCCACTCTGCCAGCTGGCACCTTCCCTTCCTGGGCGGGCTGCAAGGCTGGGCCACTGCGGCAATGAGGACCAAGGGCTCCCACTGGGGCGCCAGCATTTTATTTTTACGACGGGTTTTTTTGTTGATTTCGTGGACAGTCCCGGATGTCAAGGTTTCAGTGAAATCCATGAAACCGTGATTTAAGTAGACCCCTAGTTATGCATCGTGTGTTGACAAAGAAAAGTACAGCTAATGCAGTTCCTCCTACTCTAAAACCTCTTCTGCTCCATGAGAAGTACTTGTTGTTGTTGGCAGTGAGTTCAGCTGGACTGGTGCTGACGACAGCTTAGCTGGAAGTGGAAACCAGGCTATCCTGTGTGTTGGACAGCCTCGCGAACAACGTTTGTCTTGGCATCGCATGGCATTAAGCCACGTTCAGCTCCAGTTCAGCTGTACTGTTGTCTGCAACAGATAATGATCGTAGTGTACAAAGGGGATTAGGGTTTGTGATGGATTTAAGTCCAGGTATTAAAGCTTCATGAACATGCAGCATACTACCTTACTTTAAATGATCACTATTTGTTTTTCTAGGTGTTTCTCTAGGGCTGATGCTTGGTAGCAAGTATTTGGTCAGTTCTCCAGATAAACATTCCTTGTTCCTGCTTTTACTTTCTATGGGTCCCTATAAATGTGTCCCCCATTTCACCCCATCAACCGAGGAGCCCTTCAGTAAGATGCACAAATCCTGGGGATATAAACTAAACAGCCCAGAAGATTTATCTTTAAACCTTTGGAGCTTTCCAAAGGATTTCCTGCCACTTTGTGTCAGAGCACTCATCCGCTTGGAGTTTTTTTCTTGTAGTATGGTCAAAAGGTTCATTGTGAAGGCTTTCTGTCTTTTGCTCATTGAGTATAGTTTAGAACGGTAAAATTCACAGAAGTGTGGATTCCAATATATCTCTTTATCAGAAAGCAAGAGAAATGCTGTTGTGGGAGCCAGTTAAGGGTTGATGTTATTAGGCGTAGACTACTTTTTTTCTTGAACAGTAAAATAATCAGGAATGGGAAAATACTTAAGAACACAGATTTAGATGTACTTATGGCAAAACTAAGAGGAAGATGAGGGAAGAATATGGAAAAACTTTCTGAAAGAGAGTACAGAGATTGATGTGTAGCTTAGGAAGGGCAGTAGGCTGTACTAGACGGACTGCTGATCCGATTTATGTCAGCTGCAATGTCCCTGCACTTCTGCTAATCCCAATGGACACATTGAAAGGCGTCTCTTGCCACGACTAGAAAAATGTATTATAGATAGTTGACGGTACGTGGTTCACCTGTCTACATTTCTCATTATTTAAAATATGTCCTCGTTGCCACGTGAACCACCCAAACAAATGGCAGCCTGACTGTGCAGGGGAAATGAACAAAGGTTCACAAAATCCAGGTGCTACCAAGTGTGAACATGCACTACCTGGAGAACAAAACTTGCTCTACTGTCAGTCCGTAGTAATCCTGGGTACCTCTTGAAACAACAATAGATGCATTTCAGGCAGCGTTTGAGTTGAGTGTTCCTTTGCAGACGAACACATGCAAAGAAAATTGGAGTAGGAAGAAATATGGCTGTGCAGCGTGCAAATTTTTTTGTTAGTGTAAGAACGGGTGCGAGTTACTGTTGTGTTTTGGTAATGCTCTGAGGTCCCAAGTGCCATCAGGACTCCGTTGTTGACAACACAGTGTAAAAGCAGAATAAAAAACTTCTGGTGCTGAAGAGTTTGCAGTTTAGACCAGTGGTTTTCAACCTTTTCAGTCAGGGTGCTCCTCCACCACTGGACTGTGGCAGCACCCCTGGTTGAGAACAGCTGTTGCTGCTGTCTCACCTTAATTCAGTGCTGCTTGGCTGGGTGATGCGGCCTCCAGGTAACACTTCCCTGCGTGCCTGCTGCACAGCCCCTGGGCAGGAGTGTGGCACGTGCACGCCCCTCC